TGGTTTCATAGGTAATATTAGCTTACGGTTGAGAATCCCGACTATAATTCTTTCATCCGTTCTTATGTTGGTGAAGCTGGGGTCGAGAGTATGGCAAATAGTGGAGCGATGGATAGATTCTTGCCTTTATGGGACAAATTTGTGATACCTTAATATTCAATCGCGTGAGATTGACTGCGCTACGCATTTGCAGTTTCTCATCTATTTTTTTGCTAATAGGGTCTACCATGGAGATGAATGTCGCGGGCTACCCCTGTGACATGTATATCTCTTGATTATATTCGCCTCAGCAAGAGAGTGCCATACTGCTGCAATCTGGCTGAACTCGACTACGATACCTTAGATCGTTTTCTTGGTTTTTGTTGGAAGATATGAACACCTGATTGGGTTCAGGATCTCCAATGATTTAAGGCTTTTTTGATCCTATGAGCTTGGGGTGTTCCTGATGGAAACTCCCCCCGAATTATCATGCGTTTGCTGCGTGCTTCTGCCTCAGACAGCTTATTGGCGGTATCTAGGATGAGTTGGTCTGATACCTTGAGGGTCATTTCACTGGCTTCAATTTCAGGAAAGGGGCCTAAAAGTAGTGACCTCCTCCTCCACCTCCACCTCACCTCCACCAACTCAGCCTCCAGTTTAGCAACTTTCGTCTTTAGACTTAAGATTGCATCGCTCTGTATTAAAATTATCCTGTTTTGTATCACTGTGGAAGTGTTGATTACCGTATTGTCAAGATGCATAGGTAAAGTTTCTTCGTTCATATATACATCATGGATTGTGACAGTATCGTTATTTGCTGCTATCATTTTAAGTGTAAGCTATAGTATTGCGATGATATATGAAAAACACGAAAATGGAAAATACAGTAGAGTACGCAACAGTATAACGCATCAAAGTTTGACCGTTGAAACACTAAAAGCTGCGGCCAAAAAGGTGGTATCAAGGGTGTCACAGAAAGGATTAATATCAGATAAAGCGCTGGGTTATTTCGAACTGAACCACTTTTAGGTGCAAAAACGAATTATCAGAGCGAGGACTCAAAAATTTGAACCTGGCGGGTGTATTGTGTCAAATTTTACTTACCTGCATGCAAAAATGTATTTACGCACCGGATGCGCATATTTTTGCACCGTAAGCAGATGCTCTAACCTTCTCTTTCATTTTAAGCTCTTCCCCGCAATTACCGGACTCCCCATTTCAAACACCCTCACTAGGGGGCCGCGTGTAAGGTATCTCAGAGAGTCGAATCACCCTTCCTTACCACATCTTTCCTTTTTCCCTTATCTTGCAGATTCGAGGGACCCCACCCCTGATATAATCGTCCGTCACGTTGTATTCCTCCTTGGAATAACTCTGACTGACTGTGAACCTGGTGTGATTTTGGTGCTTGCCTCGTAGAACAGACCAGTGACGAAGATAATGTGATTACCATAACCCTGCGTTCCGTTGCGGAATTTCCTGCTCATCCACAATTGTGTTGCTCAATCTCGAGCTAAGTGACTACGATACATTACACGTGCTCTCAAATTATCGTCAGTGGGCATTACCTTCAATCAAAAAGAGACAATTTTCCAAGACCCGGGACCATTGGACCAAGCCTAGAACCCGTGAAATATTTCAAGACTTCGAGACCTGATCTCAATTTGTTTTACGCAGCTAATATGTTTGCTGCTATAGAAATATTTGGTACTATTTTTGGCATGGATAAACAGTTAGAAATAAATTTTATTATCATTTCCAGTTTCACTTTTTTAGGAAGAATTCGCGGATTTTGAATTTTTGCATCTAACTTAACATTTGCTCTTGATGATTCAAAATGTTGACGAAACTATAAAAATTCTGATGCATTAGGTGCATATATGCACCTAACGCGTGCATGCCTGCACATGCACGTGCGCGCGTTATGTGCATTTTCTGTCGTTTTACTGCACATTAAATAATATGATGCAAATGATTTGCCGTTGAAGTCATTGGATTCGTGATGGTGGCCACCCGATGAATACTACACAGCGATAGAAAAAANGGAAAAAGGGTGTACTGGACATTGACCGGGCGGACGTTAAGGATATGTGCCCACATATCACTGAAACTCAAGGAGAATCCGGTTGACTTGCTACCCTTTTTAAAAAATGTTCAATTTTCTCCTTCATAATATCTCACTCGAGTGATCACCATTGATATGTAGCGACCGAAGCAGCTTGAGTATACCGCTGAGTTACACCTGAGTGTCCCTCAGAGGCACCCGAGTTTACCGCTGAGAGACCTAATACGAAACTTGTGATATGCCCAGGGGGCGCTAAAATAATATATTTGATGGTTTACATTATTACCCATTACAAATAGAAACCCGAGAACTACCCTTAAGCCATTTGTTTTCGAAATTTCATCCTCGTTTTCTTTTTATTTTGATAGCAACCCGCTCAGTGGTCT